CCGCAGAAAACTCCACTCTCTTGGCCTCCGAGACTCTGCTGTCTCCTGGTTCTCTTCATATGTATTGCAGCGCTTGTTCAGCGTTACATATAACTCAGTCTCCTGCTCTCCACTTTCCTTTTCTGTAGGGGTCCCTCAAGGTTCTGTCCTTCTCTTCCCCATCTACACCTCCTCTCTTGGTCACTTGATAAACTCCCATCTGTATGCTGACGACACCCAGATCTGTCTTTCTACTCCTCACCTCACCCCTTCTGTCTTCTTTCGCATTACTTAACTACTAAGTGACATATCAGCATGGATGTCGCTCCACTTCCTCAAACTAAATCTTTCTAAAACTGAGCTCATAATATTCCCTCCAGCCCGTGCCCCCTCCCCTGACTTCTCCATCAAGATCAATAATACAACCATCAGTCTTTCCCCTCATACCAGGGTACTAGGTTTAATCCTAGACTCCAATCTGTCCTTTCAGCCCCAAATCCAATCACTGTCCAAATCTTATAGGCTTCACCTCCGCAACATCTCCAAGATACACATGTTCTTAACCTCAGAAACCATTAAACAACTTATTCACTCCCTTGTTATCTCTCGCGTAACTATTGTAACTCCCTCCTCTTTGGCCTACCTAATCACAGGCTATCCCCTCTTCAGTCTATCATGAATGCTGCTGCCAGACTCGTCCACCTTACTAACCGTTCCATATGTGCCATCCTTCCATTGGCTTCCCATTGCCCAACGAATAAAATTCCAAACATTAACAATAACATATAAAGCCATTTATAACCCAAATTACATCACCGATCTTGTCTCCAAATATCACCCACACCATCCTCTTCGCTCCTCCCACTCCTGCTCTCAAGCTCCCTTGTCTCCTCCTCCCATGCTCGTCTCCAGGACTTCTCCAGAGCCTCCCCCATCCTCTGGAACTCTCTACCCCAATCTATCCAACTATCGCCTACTCTGCCCACTTTTAGGCAATCTCTGAAAACCCATCTCTTCAGGGAAGGCTATCCTGCCTTCAGCTAATAATGGATTCTTCTAGTCCTCTTATCAGTTCATGCCCCACAGTCATTACCTTTTGTACCACCAGCCCCTCCTTTTTAGATTGTAAGCACCAAGAGGAGCAGGGCCCTCCTAACCCTCTTGTATTGAACTGTATTGTTGCTGTATTGTCTCCCTTTATATTTTTAAGTGCTGTGCAAACTGTTGGCGCTATATAAATCCTGTATAATAATAATATTCTTAAAAACAGTGCCCCGTTTGGTGTTAAACAAGACTTCTACAATGCATGGTCATTCTTTTAAGATTACAGGTCCAACGCGTTTCTCAGCCTAAACCGCTGCTTCTTTAGGGAAGAAATGCGGAAGTATCTGAAGTATGATAAAATATATATAAAAAACAGTGATACACAATCATAATTTCCATGTAAAGCAGTATAGCTGTCTTGATCCCTATGTTTGTCACAAGAACATGTGACTAACTGATAGGTCCCAAAACATCTTCGCTTATATGGCAATACAGATATCTAAGAATAGAAACAAATTCACACCTCCCCAGACAAAAAGGGGCCTGATCCCACATGACCCCACATACCACACACAACCAACACTTAACCGTACTATAACTATAAAAAAAAAAAACACTCGTAGATTCTCAACCAAACAAATAAGCTGTAGATTTTCCATACACACCATAACCATACATAATCAACATACCAAACTATTCCCAACTTATCATACACTATATGCTCCCACACCAACCTTGCATGAACCATACACACAAACACTAAAAACTACTAGCCCACCAACCCCACCCACTCACATAATACTACCAACACTAAAGTTACTTGCATACCATAGCCTTGTAATCACCCTTATAACAACCCCACCCAAACTACCACCATACTCCACTACCTCTGTAATAACAATTACATCCACCACACACATAAACCACCCACATCACAACACTTCAGCCCCACATCTCATTCTCTCAAAAGCTACAGCCCAAGATCCACACACCATGTCACAACTCCCATGAATGCCAGCAAGCTAATCCACTCTACACCCATAAAAAGCCCCCCTGCAGCCTGGCAAACAATAAAAGACAATGACCTTGTAAACAACCTTGATATTGAAAAAAAAAATGTTAAAATGTTACTAAACCCAGGACCCTGCATTCACTATATCTGGTCTCCCACAGTACACAGAACATTGAAATGCAATTGTTTTAGTAAATATAAACTGCTAAATACCTTTTCTCATCAACAGTTAGAGCATTCTTGTGACTTCAGCAGAGCACTGGTTAAAGCGTGTTGGAGGGGTTTTCCTTTTGCTCTAGGAGGATACAGATCCCCTGACCTCTGTCTGGACAGTGCTGATTGGCCCTGATCACATGTGCTCTCCCAAGAAAAAAAAAACCTCTTTAGCAATACACACCAAATTGAGCATGTGCATTTAGCTACAGGTTCAGGCTGTCTTATCAGGAGATAAGACGTGGACATTTGAACAGGGGGCAGATCAAACAGCCTTTTTATGCAATGCAGAGAATTTACCCCTTAAGTTCCGCAGTGAGTATAACAAGCATGCTTTCCTGCATATACAGACTGATTTTACTGTTGTAGGTTTAGTAACACTTTAAGCTCATCAACAACATACCAGGTCACTGTCTGTGTAATGCTTCTGCCAGTACAGGTGTCAACATTATGGCAGTACGCATCCACAACTGCCCCCTCCTCCCTATATTTTCCCACCAGGCAGGGCGCCCACACCGGAATGAGCCGGTGTACGACATCATAACTGGTGAGGCCGCCCAGCTATATTTCCTGCTGTGGCTGCAGCAAGTGTACATCCCTGGCAACTGTCTCTCGAACTAAAGTGAGTAACTGTTGGAGGGACATGCAGACATGGAAGGAGCGACAGACCAAAGGATAGTCCAAATTCTTTTATTGGTATTCTGCTAAAACTTAGGCGGAATTCTAATCTTACTAGACCTAAAAGTGTTAGCAGAATACCAATTAATTCATTTTGACTTTTTTATCTTTTTGGTCGAGTGCTCCTTCCATGTATGCAAAATTCTAAAGGCAGACTGTTTTCTTTCACAGATGGACACAATTACTGTATGTCCCCACCATGATGTCATGCTTTAGTTAATACAGTCACTGTAGAACTGCCTATATTTGCTGTCTAAGATTTGGACTTTCAGCTGTGTTCCATGCCTTTAGCTATCATAGGTTTGATAGAAGACAGATTTAGATTACATAACCAGCTATAGATGATATACAATTCAGTAACTGGTGAAACGATCTACAACCGGGATTAGAATAATTATTTTGGGTTTTGAATACTAATCTTACTAGACCTTTTTAGTACCTTAGCTACTTCACTTTACATAAATTACATCAATTTTCATTATTTTTGTTTTGTTGTATCAATGTTTTCAATGTAAAATAATATACTTTTTTTGCCTTATGTTTTGTGTTTTATAAACAAAAGTTAGCGCCAGTTTTAAAGTGTAAATGAAAAGCTCCATTCAGATTCAAATGGGATAGCATTTATTTTTGTATTCTGCTTGTTTTACTGGCATATCATATTTTGGAGCAGTAACATTTTTTGGTTCTGTTCTTAAAGCAATTTCATTTTTATTTAATGTTATTATTTTTAATTTGGTTAGATTGGACAGATCACCAAGATATGATTGCTTTGTATTTCCTTCCCTTGTTAAATCTAATTCTATAGGCTTGCCCACATTTAAGATTCCATGTTCAAGCAGTGGTCTGGAATTTAAAAAAAAAAATCTGAGCTACTCTGTTTCCAATATTAATAAGTAAAGTGCTGACTATTGTTAAATCGTATTTGGTTTGTATTTAACTTCGTCTTGTTGAGTCCATCAGATGATTCCAGGACAGGCTTTGAGAGATTAAAAATGATTAAATTATAGCATGATGCATTTTAGTGATGTTTATGCATCTATTTCCTTAGTCTTTTGCCTTTGTCCATTGCAGCTGAATTATTTTATAGATGCAGTTCTGATATTTGAGGGTACTGAAATAGTTAACGCACATAGGTGACAGATGTTAACTAGTGTAATGCGATCAGAGGTTAGTGGAGAATACTAATACTCTGTCATTATGCTCTGTTGTAATGACTGCTTGAAATGAACATAGATTGCTTAGTTAATATTTTTGTCAGTTGTGGAACAGTATGCTAGAAGCCAAATAACTGGGCTTAATAATACAGCATTCGGGGGCTTATGAATTCAGTCCAAGGCAGATACACCACTGAGATATATATTTTTATGGAGGGGGGTGTCACACACATAAAAGCATGGTGCATTGTAATCAATTGTTACCGTTAAGCTTTAAAACCTGTGTCACAGTTACTCACAGTACTGCTTGGACCTTGAAGAAGGGGACATACCCCAAACCAAAAGCTTGTCCTGAAAAATGTATGTTGGTGCACATAAATAAAAGTATCAAGGACAGCAATTGTTTCTGTCGCAAGTGCACTAGTACGGCTACAATCACCCCAACTAAGGAGCATATACTAAAGCCTCTGTAGGAATTTACTGCCAGATATAAAGTGGAACAAAAACTTCTGTCAACTATTCACGGTAAAAGAAATATATGTTCATGTAGCAGAGTGTTCTACTGTCACCATCTGAAGTGGAAGCAAATAGTATGAAAAGAATTAGACCGTGCTGTGTAATGAACAGTTCTGTCTTTTCGGACTAGAGGTGCATTGGTGGCTCTTCCATAAATATTTAATATTACAATGCATTTCTATGTCGGAAAAATAAAAGTGCTTCTATTTTTCCTTTCACCAACCTCCTCCATTCTCTTAACTGCCTGGCATTTGCTTTTAGTGTTTGAGCATCTAGAACCACTCAGTGCCCCAGCTACTTAATTCCATCTTTAAAAAATGTGACCACCATATGTTTTTTTTTTCTTTTATTGCTTTTTATAGCTAGCTGTATGTGGAGTTTTAACCTATGTGTTTTACCTGTAGCATTTATTGCGGCACTTTATATCGATAAGGACTTGGAATACGTTCACACTTTTATGAATGTGTGCTTCTTCCCGCGACTAAAGGTAAATGACATTTAATATATGTAGTTCCTGTTTATCTAAATGTGTCCTCATCAAACTTTAAAGAATAAGTTCACCTTTGGAGCATGTTACATGTTCCTTCTGTTTTTAGGGTGGAACATGTAATATGCTCCCCCCCCCCCCCCCCCCCGTTTTTAGCGTGGAACATGTAACATGTTCCCATAGCTGCAGCTGCATTCGCGCCCCCTCCCTCTGACAGTAAAGGGACAAGTTTCCCCATACTACCTGTCAAATTTGAAAACAGCACGGCCATGTGGGGCTCCGCCTTCACAGTCACGTTACTCATTCATGGACTTCTGTGAATGAATTAACTGCAAGTCCTGGCAGCATTAGCGGCTATCAGATTGTAGTTGTCAATGGTAGTTGATTGAAGCTTCCTGTCAGTATATCTGATATCTGCTTTCTCGTAAATCCTGTATGACAAGCAGATATTCTGACAGGTCTGCAGGAGATCTGCATGGCATTAGCGATCTGATCGCTGGTGCAATGCTTTCCTGACTTCTTTGGAAAAAAATAATACATGCACATTTTTTTTTTAACTGCAAAATCACGTGCATTTATTATTTTTGTTCAAAAGGTGAACTTATCCTTTATGTCAAAATATGATGTCTGAAAGAACTGTCTGTATTGTCTATAGTATTAGTTAGTTTCATTATTCTGCTTTTGTTTCTAGTACAAGTTTAATAATGAATGCAAAAATCTAATTGGTTGCTGTGAGCAACCTTTTTCAGACTTCCTAATAAAGGAGTCATAAGGACAGGTTCTTCCACACCCAAAAGAGTTAAATGTCAGTGCATACAGGAAATCTACTGACCCAAAACCGCATTTCCATTTAAAGCCTGTAGATGTATTTTGCTAAGATGGATTGGCAAGGAAAAGATAACATTCTTCAGATGCCCTCGGGGTACCAATAAGTAACTGGGAAATCACTTTTCAATAAAGATAGCCTGCTCAAGGGGCATCACTGAGTGAGTTTAGGCACTTGTGTAGTCCACACATAGTATAGTCAGTCATCAGGAGCTCCGAAGAGTTTGACAAAGTAGATTAATCAAAACTTGTTTGGAAGGGAGTTCTCCTATCCAGACTCTGATTGATGCTATCTAGGGTTTTGCAGGGCTGAATAACAAAAGATTATTGTTCCAATACATTTGACCAAGTGATTCCTACTGCCTCCTGCATTGTTTTTGTAAGCGTCTATCAAACACTATTTAGAGGCGAATGATTTTTCTGTTCTGTCTGGTGTACAGGAGTTTATTCTAAATCAAGACTGGAATGATCCTAAATCTCAACTTCAGCAATGCTGTTTGACTCTGAGAACAGAAGGAAAAGAGCCCGATATCCCTCTGTACAAGTAAGACTTGTTTTGTAATTGCTTCCTGGGTGCATGTAGAAATGATTACGTTAAAGTATGTTTAATCATTGGACACAGTTCTATTATAATAGGTCTAATTAATATTCTCAGGATACTACAGTTTTGTCTTGGTGTTTTTTGGATCATTTTTCTTTTCTTTAATATATTAAAATAACCTGCACGACATTCATAAAGGGACATTCTCAAGCAAATTGCAAGGAAGTCAGGCTGCTTGTCAGCAAAATCTACACACTTTTTTTTTTGTATTTACATCTCCTGTGCCTGCTATCTTGGGCAGCCAGCTGAGATAGACTTGCACAGATCTGAAACAGATTTACCAATGAATTTGAGAATGCATTTACAGCTTAACAATTTTAGCTGTTTGAAGGAAAGCATAAGCTTTTCTTTTGTTGTTAGTGTATCCTTTTTTAATGTAATCTAATCTTGTATATAACAAGATAGTGTGATTGTGTTATGGTAGCTTTTGAGGGAGATTGTATTGCAACAAAGTAAATTGAGAGCTAAGCAGATAATGTATAGAATCATAAGTATTTATCTATATACATTTCAGTAAGTACATATCCTTGTTAACATAGGCTTGCAAATGTGATGAAGAAAATAATTTTAATAGACGTATCTCTTTAGCATTGCATGTGTGTATACATAATATGAAACAATCATGTCTATCAGTTCTAGAGCATTTCCTGAGTTTTTTTTTTTTTTTAAATATAAACTTTAACACATTAAGAAAGAAAACCCATTACAGTCATCAGACTCCTCCTTTTTTCTGTTTGTTCTATAATATAAAACTAGCACATTTGTGTTAGAAGATTGGTAAAATAGCCAAAATCAACATCTCTGTGTGTGCCACTTGCCTCCCAGTTGTGAGATGTCCCTTGTGTAGACAAAGGGGCTCCTGCAGTGAGCAATGGAGCTGCATCACTTGTGTGCTGTGATCCAGCATGTAGAAAACCATGATTATTGCTTCATTTTTCATCATCATTTAGCAGCCATTGTCAGAAAAGAAACACTCATAAACTGGCTGATTTCTGGTCGATACAGGGAAGCAGCATGAATGTGTTTAGTCAAAGCAGTAGTAAAAAAAAAAAAAATCTGGTCCCCTGCAAGATAATGTCATAATGTGTTAGTTTGCACATTATGAAGCCCTCCGCCACTGACACGGCTTCCATTTTCAGCCAGGTTTGCAGGCTCTGAGCTCCGGGCACCCAGGTTTGCGGTCCCCAGCTGCTTGAAAGGCCAAGCCAAGAAACATCACTCCCATGTATGTGCATGGAAGCCAGGGCCGGTGCACAGCGTGCCATCCCTTCAGGCTGCAGTGTGCATGCGCCGTCACGTCACTTGCTGCAGAAGTAGTGAATATCTCCTACACAGTGCACGTTTAGGAGATAATCCTTGTACCTACAGGTGAGCTTTATTATAGGCATACAAATATGCAGAGTGTGGAAACCTGGGGAAGCCAATCCAAAATAATCCTTTATTAGTGTGATTACAATAACATTTCCAATTGGTTTGGCATGCAATGTGAGATACATCAATCATTACATTGAAATTGTCTTCTACATTACCTCTAGATTTTCCCAGCTCCATTTTTGAGCACCTAATAAAAAAAAACACACACACACACACTCTATATTGCCAAAAGTATTGGGAGGCCTGCTTTTATACACACATGAACTTAAATGGCATCCCAGTCTTAGTCTGTAGGGTTCAATATTGAGTTGGTCCACCCTTTGCAGCTATAACAGCTTAAACTCTTATGGGAAGTCTGTCCACAAGGTTTAGGAGGGTGTCTATTGGAATTTGTGACCATTTTTCCAGAAGTGCATTTGTGAGGTCAGACACTGATGACGGACAAGAAGGCCTGGCTTGCAATCTTCACTCTAATTCATCCCAAAGGTGTTCTATGGGGTTGAGGTCAGGGACTCTGTGCAGGCCAGTCAAGTTCCTCCACCCCAAACTCGCTCATTCATGTCTATATAGACCTTGCTTTGTGCACTGGTGCGCAATCATGTTGTAACAGGAAGGGACCATCCCCAAACTTTGTGGGAACCACAAAGTTGAGAGCATTAAATTGTCCAAAATGTCTTGGTGTGCTGACACCTTAACAGTTCCCGTCACTGGAACTAAGGGGCCAAGCCCAGCTCCTGAAAAACAACCCCACACCATATTCCCCCCTTCACCAAACTTTACACTTAGCACAATGCAGTCAGGCAAGTACCGTTCTCCTGGCAACAGCCAAATCCAGGCACGTCCATGGGATTGCCAGACAGAGACCCTGCTCTGTCATTTTACATGGCCTACCACTTGGTGGCTGAGTTGCTGTTGTTCCCAGTTGCTTCCACTTTATTATAATATCACTAACAGGTGACCGTGGAATATTTAGTAGCAAGGAAATGTCACTGATGGACTTATTGCACAGGTGGCAACCTATTACGGTACCATGCTTGAATTCACTGAGCGCCTGAGAGCAACCCATTCTTTTGAAAATATTTGTAGAAGCAGTTTGCATGCCTAGGTGCTTGATTTTATACACCTGTGGCCATGGAGGCGATTGGAACACTTGAATCCAATGATTTGGAGAGGTGTCCCAATATCTTGGCAATATAGTATGTGTGTGTGTGTGTGTGTGTGTGTATATATATATATATATATATATATATATATATATACACACACACACACACACACACACACACACACACACACACCGACCACTTTATTAGGAACACCTGTTCAATTGATTGGCTGAGTAGCATTTTGTGCTACAAATCACATGGTAGCAACTGAATGCATTTAGGCATGTAGACATGGTGAAGATGACTTGCTGAAGTTCAAACCAAGCATCAGAATGAAGAAGAAAGGGGCTATAAGGGATTCTGAACATGACATAGTTGTTGGTGTCATACAGGCTGGTCTGAGTATTTCAAAAACTGCTGATGTACTGTGATTTTTACGCACAACCATCCCTAGGGTATATAGAAAATGGTCTGAAAAAGAGAAAATATACAGAGAGAGGCAGTTATATGGACAAAAATGCTTTGTTGATGTCTGAGGTCAAAGGAGAATAGGCAGACTGGCTGCTGGGACAATTCAGATGGTAGGGTCAGAATTTGGCGTAAACAACATGAAAGCATGGATCCATTCTGCCTTGTATCAGTGGTTCAGGGTAGTGGTGATGGTGTCATGGTGTGAGGGATATTTTCTTGGCACTAGCAAGGTGTACCTCACAGAAGTGAATACACCCCTCACATTTTTGTAAATATTTTATTATATCTACACACACACACTCACACACACTCTTCATTGGTATTCCATTCACTTCTTTCCCTAGGCATATTATTGAGCAGCCTTTTATGTTCGCTTGCCCCTTCCTTTTAGATTGTAAGCTTTCACAAGTAGGTGCCTCTTAACCTTTTTGTCTTGAATTGTATTGTAGCTGTACTGTCTGTGTTTATTTTTTAAGTTGCTGTGCTGTGTACTGTTGGCACTCTATATAATTTTATAGTAAAAGGAAACCTGTCATAAGAGAAATCTATAGGCCACCATTGTTGGTCTGTTTCTATAAATACTACTTTCCTGGCTGTTATGCTTTCCTCCAGACCTAAATACTTTCTAAGTGAAAGACTCAGGACTAGTATGCAGACTCAATGTCAGACACAAGCAGAAGTTCTTATATGTACATTTATTCCAAGTCAGTGATTCAATGTTTTGAAGCTGAGGGATCAGAATGAAAGGCATAAAACTTCAGTTTTCAGCTGCAAAGATCAGCAATGAAAGTCTTTGGGGTTTTTCTTTTTTATGATCAGCTTCTTAGCTTTTTTCAGTGTTCTCTTAGAGTCTAATACTCTGTCAATGTGCTGGACATAAGAGACTTTTTTATAGCTATGAAATATCTCATGCTGCCAGAAGGGAAGATCATTTAGAGAAGAGGCATCCACCGATTTCAAGGATAAGGATAACAAAAGAAAAGCAAAGGTCTCTAGTGTCACTGCTCCTATGTAGACCTATTACTTGATTTACTGGAAAAGAAGCTTTGTTCGCAATAAAAGTTGATCTGATAAATAGTCCCAGAGGGCACTGGGCCACCAGCACTTCGTATCTCTATTGTCACCAACATCCAGTATTCTTGTACACTCTGTTCTCAAGGTTGTGATTGTGCAGAAAAGAGAGTCCCACTTCCTCAATTCTACCAAATCTGAAAACATAGAGCTGGGTGGCATACTTTAAAGCGACCCAGAGTAAAAGTGAACAGTCCCAGGTTGTTTCCACAACAGCCAAAATGCAGTAGATTGTGCAGAGCTGTCTTTTATTGTGAGATCCCTAGCACTTCTTGGTCACACTCTACCTAGCTTTCCCATCATAACAGTTGGATCATGCAGATTGATGGCAGCAGCCTCTTTCAAGCCCACCTGTTTATGCTAACCACACATCTAACAAAATAAAAATACTGTATCGCTAAGAAATTGGTGGCAATAAATAGGTTGCTAGAACGATGTTACTATTGATTTTTATAAAAAAGGAATGGTTAGGAAATCCATAATTTTCTGTTTTTGAATTGTCTGAATTAATCAAACATATGATCCAATGAGTATTTCTTGCTAATGGTATGTCTAACATGAGCTTCACAGGAAACAATCTTTCTCAAAACTCTCCCCTAATTTTCCCCAGTCCAGTTTTTGATTCATACTGATGTCGATATAGAAGGATGTTGTCACTTATTTGGAGTAGCATAGCAGAAAATTATGTTATCAGGCACTGTGACTCTATTGTTAGGTTGCATCTCAATACAGAACCTCTTTTGATTTCTGCTTCATTTTTACTGGCGAGGAAATTACCTAAAATGATAGGCTGCCTAAAATGAAATATATGAATTACAAAGCTGGCAACCAACCTATTTTGACCAGTATTTTACATGCAGAGACCAAAAGAGGGAACTGTACAGACAGTCGTTGGTACCTGATAACATTTCTTCTGCTTTCCTTTTTTTGTTCATTTTCTAACTATGTTCTGTTACAGTATGCATACGTTTCAGTAGATCATCAAGACAAAAAATTAACTCAAGGGAGGGGTTAGGGTCCACAGCGTATTATGGAAGTTTTTCTTTGAGGCTACAGCAGGCCATTGACTGTTCGAATCTCAGTCAGTTCAGCAGGGGCCAGCCGAGATTCAAACAATGTATGGGCAGGCTGAATATACCCAAGTTGATTGAACAATCAACTTTGGTACAACCAGCCTGTTTTTTTTTTTTTACATGCGATTATTGCTAGCGGCTACTATAGCCACTAGCAGTATACACTGTATTGTCCCAAAGGGGACGGCTTCCCCTGCCAGGAGAAAACAATGGCTCCTCGGGAGGTATTCCCCCATTAATACTTGACTGTGTTGATGGGGAATTGAGCGATTTTCTTTCCTGCAATCTGTGGTTGCAGGAGAGAAAAAATGCTCTATCTATGGACAAGCTGTACAGATTAACCTAATGATATCAATGCACTTGATATGCTTAAAGCCCAATCAAACATTCATTATAGGCTAGCTAAATGCATCACAGCTGGATCAAAAACAAAAGGTGTACAAAGTCTTACAGTTTGCGTTCTTTACAATTAGGCCACAGGCCCGATAAGCTCTTCAATCAGTGGGAAGAAAGGGCTTTGCTGATTGCAAAGCTTATATTAACAGATTCAGCAGGGGTTTTGTTGGATCTCCACAATGAGACCACTGCTTCATCACAGAGAACAAGGGTCCCACCTTGCAGTTGCTGGTAAGAGACATGCTTTTCTATCTGGGCTATGGCTGCTTTAAAAAAAAAAACACTATACAACATTAAGGATCTTTTGACTTGCTGCACTTGGAATATGTATTTAGCTGATTTAAATCGAGGATTCATTTGGACATTAATTCTAAGAAAAATGCCTCTGGACAGAAAAAGAAAATTGTTCCCTGATCTGACTTCAAGCTCCGGGAAGCCTTTTGAATTCCAAGGAGAGCACAAACAATTGTCAGTAGGGTACAGCTCCTCTCAGAAGCCTTACTTTGTTTGTCTGCAGAAAATTGCAAAAATAGAAAAAGCTAGAAACCATGTAAATTTCTGACTTTAGAATAGCAGTAATGTATCCTCAATTGCATTTGCAGTTTCTGCAGTGATTTTCTATGTTGTCTGAAGCTGCTCTTTAACAATATATAAATAGAGTATGGCAGTAATGACACTTTTGGCGTTGTTTGAAAACGCCATGGTATAAGATTGAATTATCCTTTGAGTGTAAACTGTTCCTTGCTATCAATGTTGCCAGAAGGAGAGGATGACTGCAGTGCCCTTCAATGTGACTACTATCAGAAAGTCAGCTGTGTGAGGGGATATATCTCTTTTCCAGTTATAACTTTATCTCACATATATTTTGTTCATATAAATTCCAGAAACTTTCACATATAAATTTCTAGATGTTATGAAGGGATCAGGAGGCAAAGTTCAAATATTCAGCATCTGAAACTAATGTTTAAGCTCCAACTTTTTCATGTACAGATAGTTCACGATAGTAATAATTTGAAAACTATTTTACAATGTTTCAGGACTCTACAGACTGTAGGCCCTTCCCATGCAAGAACCTATACTGTTGCTGTGTACTTCAAAGGAGAGCGAATTGGTTGCGGTAAAGGACCAAGGTAATTTAAAAGCTTTCTCTTTATGTTTGATTAATAGATAACACTGGAAAGGTTTCTAATCGAGTGGCTCCAGCAATACGCATCACACACATTAATAAGTTATTTTCCCTCACTGGCCCTGTCCTGCCTTGACTTCAAAGTAAAAACCAATATTGAGTTATTATGCTTGGTTAGTTATGACGAACACAATACCATACCCTTCTGCTTGTAGTGTCAGCTGTAATTAACAAAATCATACACGTATTGTCAGTTCATTACATACCTATGAACAAAGCCATATACATTACTCAAGGAACATGACATCTTTGAAGGAAAAGTTGACAGAAAATCCATGTTGCATCCCCTTTCCTTGTGCTCTTTGACAGCTCCTATTCTCATCCATCTGTGACTGAATTCGGTTAGAGATTTGTTTAAACCATCCAGAAGAAATGTTATTAGTAAGGGTAGTGCATGTATTGTTTAATTTTTATTTTCATAATTGCTTTTTATAGCTCAGATTAATGTATTCCTATCATGCATATATTAAAAAAATCACTATTCTACAATATGAGTAAGGTTGGCCATGTACTAGGAAATGGAAAACTTTGACAGAGAACAATTAGATTCTTGAACAAACTCAACATGCACATCCACTGTTCAGTGCATGTCAGGACATCTTCCATTACACCCTGTGTGGCGGTAACTGGATATGCTGGGATGTTTCTATTCTTTTTTGCCTTATTAGTTGAGATGGAAAAATATTGTAGAAATCTTTCCAACCCACCAACTCCAGTTTCTTGCCTTTACCCATTTTCATTCAGTTCACATAATAGCATTAACCACACTTATCTTGTCATTACCTCTACCATTGCAGTGACTTTAACCAGCAGGATTTTTCATCATATTCTGTTTAAGACAAGGCTATAATATGCTGTTTTGTGTAAGTGTTGAGTATTACAGCTTTTCACCCTAAAAAATAAAATTTTAAATTTGCTTCTGCTTGTACAGCTTCAACATATTTTTGTTATTATGTACACTTTCCATTTTTTTATTCCACATATCATTCTGGCTCATTTTTTCTTATTCTGATGTTATGTGGCTAGCAGTAAGAAGCAATTGCAAATTTTTAATCCGTTAATCAGGTAAATTGCTAATTTCTGTTATCCAGCAAATATGGCAACTGTGCTTATTTAAGAAAGTTTCTTGTCACTATGACAGTAAGTGAGGAAAAACCTCCTCAAATTGGAAACAAGTAGTGATAAAAGCCGTACAAATGTTCCTAACGTACAATAAATCTTCAGTCTGATTCTAGAGAATTCCCCACATAGAATAAATGTGTTCTTGAACATCCTTCCTTTGCCTGCTGTGGCAAATGTTTTATTATTTACATTTTGATACACCAGGCTTTCCGCATATAAAAGACAACAAGGAATCTGTAGGGGGTATGTTAGGATACCTTCCCTGTTTTGCAGACAGAAAAGCAAAAGGAGGTCCCAGATTACTGACAAAAGAGTTTGGAGAAGCTGGTACACTACAGCAATGCATCGTTTCAAGGCTTAGTTTTTCAATTTTATTGACATATAAAAAAAAGAAAAAAAAGTCCATTTAGATTTGCAACACAGGCTAGCCATACTGGGTAAGAGCTTTATTCAGTCTTGTCCATTTTCCTGCAGCAAAATTCATATGTTTTATTAGGGACAATGCAGTTAAAGCCAAACTCCAACAAATAAACAAACCTAAAACTTAAAGTGGATAAAACTTTTTCTTTCATTTTGGATAGAGCAAGAGAGGGTTTTAACTTATGTCAGATTTTTTTATTTGCCATTTGTGTCCCAATGTGGAGATTTCCCTTCACTTCCTGTCCCATAGCAAACAGGAAATTCCTGAAAATTAATGGAATTCCTTGGGGACCCCCAGGTCACCAGAACTAGTGTCCCCATTGGAAGATTTTCCCTCTTACTTTTCTGGGGACAACCCAAAATGTGGGATTTTGTTTTACTTTCACTTTTAATGATAATGGTAAACAGGACAAATAGGGTGAATCTCCCTAATGGGGGCACAAACAGCAATAACACTTGACAGGTGTTCTAATCCTTCTCCACTCTAGCCAACAAAAAAAAAAAGTTTTACCTTTTAGTTGTACATTAAATGTTTATGAAGACTAGGGGGAGTTGAAGAGACTGTTTTACTTACCTTACACTCTGTTCCAGCACTCCTAGTTGTCAGCAGTCCCTCAGCATCATTACTTGCAACGCAGGGCTATTAATCCTGCATTGTACGCAGAGGAGGCAGGCATGTGAATTATGGCTGGGAGTGCCTTAGTGAAGAACCATCAAACGGATGGACAGAGATTACAGGACAAGGAGTAAGGTAAGTATCAGGCCCCTTCCACACGTGGCGTTATGATCAGCAGGGGATCTGTTTGCTGATCACCTGCTGATCAGAGCAGAGTGGGTGGATGGCAGACCCTGTCGGCTCAGTTCTGCAGAGCGGTCACGGACAAAGCCTGCTCCGGTCTATGGACTGGTGGGTGTAAATGGACTCTGCTGTCCATTTACACCTGACTGTCCTCTGATCCGATCCACCTAGACAGAGGATGACAGTTCCCCTACTGTTTCTTTTTAGTGGACTAGATCATACCAGAAGTAGGAGGGTGTAAACAGACACAAGTCCGTTTACACCCACCAGTCCATAGGGGTGAATGGAAGGACCACATGAAAAACTGACAAGAGGACCTGATCTGACCCTTGGTGTGAAAGGGGCCTCACTCCTTATTCCTGCACCCCTAGACTTAACGAGCAGTGAACACTTGCAGTGCAGGTAGGCTCACAACAAGCGTAGACTTAATCTAATTCCTGGAGTTGGGCTTTAAATTAGAAATACTAGTGAAGCTAGATCACATTTCTGTTCTGCAGTTTTTTTTTTTTTTTCTTTAACAGTAACATTCTTGTAAGGAAACGCATGTTAAAATATAGCTAAAGCCAAAACTTGTTTTACATTTATTTTGTTTACAGTAAGGAATGGTTAAAATGCCTGTTATTTTTTTTTTTGTCCCACTTATTGCCATTTGTGTCCCATTAGGAAGTTTTCCCTTGACTTCGAGTCCTGTAGAAAAGTGAGGGAAATACCCTGTTAGTTGCCTCCAGAAGACTTGTTTGTATTATAAGATTTCTCCTCCTATTCCTGTTGTGACAACTCAAATTGTTGGATTTTCCTTCACTGTCAGTCCTGGTGAAATGATTGACAAAGGGATTTGTGTCTTTTAGCACACTTGCATCATGGAAAGTCTATATTCTTCACAGTCTCTCCCCCACATTCCATAACGAACAAAATCATACGTAAACATGTTTAAAACACGGAGACTTGCACTTGTGTTAAAGGTGTATGTAAACATCTACAAAACACAGTGACGTGTGTCGTTAACACTTCACTACATGCACATTGCTGCAAAAGGGACTTTGATGTCAGATTGGAGCAATTCAGGCATTTGATTTCTGTTCTTTACATAGAAAAGTCATTAAATTGGTAACATTTGAGGTATAAAACCATTAAGTAGCATGGAAAGGGGGAATATAGAAAGAATGGAGAAAGCACAACAATAATGCTACAGGTGGAAAACATGAAACGGGTGAACTGCGGCATTAATCCAATATTGAACAGTGAAGGAAACGAGTGGCTGCTCAACACAGGTGTGCTATTAGCAAAGATGTTTCATTAGGATACCGTATCTTGTTGCTGTACTGGGACCACTAATGCTATTCAGACAACAACATAGTGTCTTTGATTGTTGGCTATATCTGAGAAAAGCAAAAAATAGTAAATTGGGAAAGAACTTTTAGAATTGCCAGTAAGTTTGAAACATAGCTATCTTTTTAATGTCGAAAGGTTTTCAATTGTATCTTTGAAAGACCCTCAAGGAGTAATGCGTATCCCTTTCCCATTTTCTCTTCTTATTGCCGCTTAAAAGGATTTAAGAGCTCACTTAAAACTGATGGAGGTAATTAGGTTAATTGGAGTTTTTTTTTCTTTCAGCATTCAGCAGGCTGAGATGCAAGCTGCTATGGACGCCTTGGAGAAATGTAAGATTATTTTTGTCTTTTGTGTGTTTCCTTTTCTACAGTTAAAGCCTTGCAGTGCTCATTTGTAATGTGCTTGAAGCAGTTTCATCTCCAACGATATATTGACTTTGGCAGGATCTTTGTTTAGCATGACAAAATAAGAAGTGCTTCTACAAGTATGCTTTTAAAATCTTCATCACTGATAGCCACACAGTGCAGTCAAATTAGATTTTTCTATAACAATTCCTATTATATATTTAAAGGCACATCTGTTTTTCGAAGGGTCTGTCTGAATAATAGTGTGAGCTCTGGTATAGCTGTTGTTTGGCATGCCAGATAAACTACACTGGCTTACAGCAGACACAATGTAGGTGATGTCATTGTTTTTCTTTCCCCAGATAACTTCCCCCAGATGGCTCATCAGAAACGTTTTATCGAACGGAAGTACAGGCAGGAATTGAAAGAAATGAGGTTGGAGAAGGAGCAACAAGAGAACGCGGAAGACGTGAGAAAATAAAGCCTGCCATTCTTACAGGGTCCATTCAAACTCACTGGGGGCAGCTGCCATACAACATCATTCTGTCTGTAAATGTTTACAGATAACTCATGCTGTGTCCAGTTACACAAGAGAGATTTATGGACTGAGGTTTTTCTAGTTTTGCTCTTCATTTAGCATTTTTTTTAAGTGTTAATATTTTAGTATTTAATGTCTTATTTGCTTTTTTTGGTGTATTTTAATTTTGCCAATTTTAATAAAATATTAACAATGAAGTGACATGTTGTCATATCTTTTAAACATAAAAGGCGATCCTTGTAGTTATCTTGCCATATTTAATTAGCATTTCCAGGCAATCAGGGAAATCAGAGAATACCATCTAGGAAACACTGCAACTCTGCTAATGTCACAACATGTGAAAAAAAGACGCATTTATCAAGCTCTGCAAAAAAATAAAGGAAAGAGGAATAA